AACCACAAAAAGCCGTTTGACAAACAAACTCTCATTTAATATGAATCAAACCGTTTTCTCCTTGGCTGCCCTCATTTCAGGCATGAGTGTGTTTATTTGGGTAAGACCATCTGAACACTCGAATTACTCTAAACCAAATCACATCCTCGGCAGGATCTGTTGAAATGTTGATGAGATATCAGACAACACTTGAAGTCACTTCTCTGCAGTATTAAAGACAGGTTAGCCCTTGGGATGTCCTGAATTTTATTGGATGCACACAAAATCTATGGACAAAATCTAGACGACGTTATGTACAAGATGATGTACAAAATGTGAAAACGTGTGATCAGTCAAGTCAGCTGTGAAAAAGCTATAAAACTAGAAATGATTGTGAAAATATTGGTACAATATCATTTATTCCAAAGCTAAGAACATTTTAAAACACAAAAGATTAAAAAGTGCTCTCTTTTTGTTTCCTAAAAGAGGTAAAATGATAGTAATGTCATTTCAATATTCTGGAAAATTCTAAAATTAATCTGCATAAAATCTGTAATAAGCTTTCAACATTAAAAAAAAAAAATCCTAAAGTTATTAACAATGCCTCAGTATACAACCAAAATCCAATAGCAAAATGCCAACAACCACTCAGAATATCCTAGCAACAACATAATTCCTTAGAAACTGCACATTGGTGTGCTAACAACACTCAGAATATCTTAGCAATCTTATGACAACACCCTGCAGCTAGAAAAGCCTTAGCAACCACCAACAACACCCTAGAAACCACGAAGTAAATAGAACACCTTAGCAACTGCACTAGCAACCACTCATAACATCTTTTAACAACACTCTGCTGCTAGCAATGCGTTAGCAACAATCCACAACTTCCTAGAAACCAAATGTTAACAATCAAGCAGAACACTTTAGCAAATGCACAGCAACATCCTAACAACCACTCAGAAGACCTAACAATCTTATAGCAACACCCTGCAGCTAGCATTGCCTTAGCGACTACTCACAACTCCTTAGCAAACACATATCAAAATGTATATAAAAAACAATCACACAGAACACCCTAACAAATGCACTTCAGTGCATTGACAACCACTCAGAACAACTTAGCAACTGCAAAGCAAGATCTTAAGAAACACTCAGAACATTTTAATCTTGTAACACACCCTGCTTCTAGCAATGCCTTAGTAACCACCCACAACACCCTAGCAACCACATAGCGAAATGCTAAGGATCAGACAGAACACCTTAACAACTGTGCATCAGTGCACTCAGAACAACATATCAACTGAAAAGCAAGATCCTAACAACCACTCAGAACATCTTAGCAATCTTATAAAAACACCCTGCAGCTAGCAATGCCTTAGCAACCACCAGAACTCCCTAGCAACCACTCAGAACAAGAAAAACATTCAAAACCCATTTTAATTCCATAATGTAAAAGTTTAATCTAAAATGATATTCACCAAGGAACATCTTAGCAACTACGCATCAGTGTGCTGACAACCACTCAGAACAACTTAGCAACTTTAAAGTAGTATCCTAGCAATACTCAGAAAATCTCGTAACAACCTCCTGCAGCTAGAAATGCCTTAGCAACCACCCAGACCTCCCTTACTACCACGGCAATTTTATAAATCACACAGAACCCTTTATTAAGTCAATGCAAAGATGAGAATAGATGTGAATTCACACCGGGCGATATACACCTCAATCGCATCTTCCGTGCAAGTTGAAAAATTTGCATGACACGTTGTCACGCAAGCCAATCAGTCCAGTTGTATCAGAAAATAGAAGAGAGCATTACATGATGCAATATTTTTATTCAAGTGACTGACACAAAAACATCCCGCAAGTAATCTAGAGCGATAACGCAAATCGAATATTCTATTTACGTTTGAAGTGCACACACTTTTAGCAACTATGCAATGCGTTAACTGCCACTCAAAACAACTTGTACCCTGCAGCTAGCATTTCCTTAGCAACCACCCAGAACTCCCTAACAACTACTCAGAGCAACTTAACAACTGCAATAAATAAATAAAAATAAAAAAAAGGATTTCCAACCCATTTTAAGTCCAAAATGTGACATTTTTCAAACTAAAATGATATTCAACAATGAAAAAGGGCGGGGTTTAATTTTATTAATCTTCATTGATTTGTATTCATGATTAGTCTTTCAAACAGCTGTCCATTTCTTACATGAAGACTGCGGCAATGTTTCCTTAATGTATTTCATGAAAAAAAAAACAGACCACCACAATCCTCAATACAGCATCCCGAGGGCATTCAACATGCATCTTTTTGGAAATGCTCTCAGGTGCATCTTCTCCTCTAGTGGACAGAAGTTCAGTGAGCACGTTTAATTTGAATTAAATGTAGCACGTTAAAGTCTTTATGTCAGCAATCCCGAGGGCATTCAACATGCATCTTTTTGGAAATGCTCTCAGGTGTATCTTCTCCTCTAGTGGACAGAAGTTCAGTGAGCACGTTTAATTTGAATTAAATGTAGCACGTTAAAGTCTTAATGTCAGCGGTTATGCACATGCATACAAACATACTGTAGCTGAGGATAATGAAGTCAAAGACATTCCACATCACACAGCGCTGGGTTCTCAACCATATGAAAAAGCATTTCCATCGTCTCCCACAGGATAAGCGCTGTGCCACTTGTGCGCCAAAGCAATAAGAGTGATAAACAGTGCGAACTGCCACTCATACAAGATAATCAAATACGCAAATTGGGATCATTAATAACTGTCTCCTCTCTTCAAATCCTGAGTGGACTGTAAATTGCTTCATAAATACAAATTAATGAACAAGCTGGGGTGGTTGGCAAATCTGGCATGCGAAGAGAAGATGACAAATACCTGAAGGTAGGTGTGGACGTAGGTTTTTCGTTTGGTTTAATTTCAAAATAAAGACTGGAAAAATACTCGTGATAAAAGACTTGTGAATAAGCGAGAAATGTTGCTAATCTGAGCTCCACCGCACTGACAGAAGATATATATTCCACCTCACTGCTAAATTGGACAGTAAGCCCAATTAACAGAATTCGCTGAGTGCTGAAAAGCCTCTGTGAATCCAGAGAGAATCCATATGAGAGCTGCTACAACATAAATATAGTTACTCACAGATTTCTATATGCCATTTTGGATTTTGAATTAAAAATTCTTATTTGACATAGCAGGTTATAATACCGTTTCTTCTGTTGTGTTCCATGAATGAGGCTCAATGTCCCTATCAGTAAATGTACAGTAAAAGAACATTCATTATCCGCCTAAATTTGTGGCCATAAAGCAACCACAGTGAAAGACCCTGCCAAACAGCTCTGAGCACTGTTGTTTTTGCCAACATACTGACCTCTGCGCCAAAGTCTCCTTGGGAAGCCTTAGCACATATCATAAGAAGCCGTTCCCTCTAGCACTTGAGGCACTTCACACTCAAAATGTTGTGCTTTTTTTTTTTTTATTATGCGATACATTTAGCCAAAACATTACAACATGCTTAATCTCCCCTCCAACTCAATCTCACAGGAATATGAATGTATTTATTGAGGTGTCGATTTTGTATGAATTTGCACAATGTGAATTGTATGGAGCTCCACACATGACATGCAGGAAAAAATATATATATATTGTGCCCACAGATAGAATTCATTCTCTGTGAGGTGTAGGCATATTATACAAAAACTAATGAATGAGACCGTACAAATTAGCTGCCAATTTGCCAAAACGTTAAATATAGTTACAAATTGCTATGAGATTGTGTTGTGGTTTCCTAAAGTCAAAAATGGCATCTATTTTCCTTCTATAATGCAATGTATTTCAGTATAAATAGAACATTAAATATATTAAAAAAAACATGGTGGGATTTTATTTATTTTTTCCATCTGAAAATGACTGGATCATGAAAAGGTTTAAAAAATAAGGATGAAGTCGAAAAAGGAAAGTCCTTGAAAGATGACTTTTGAATAACTGACAAAACATTCTGAATCAAGCTGAACGACTCAAGCTGACGAATCATTCACAATAAAACTAGCACTTATAAACACTTATAGCACAATAAAACTTTTTATATTATATATTGCATTTTGTCAATTTTCAGTTTTGTACACATCGGTGTATTTATCATTTGTTAATACAACTGATTTCAAAAAGTCGGTTGAATTGTTTTATAGAACCACTTCAATGTTTTTTGGTTTGATGAGTCTTTAAGGTAACCAAACTCATTATGAAATGAATCTTGGTGCAATGATTCTGTGAGTTGAAGAACCGCTTGGCTGTTTGGCAGGATCTGTAATGAATTGAAACAGCCCATGAACAAAGACTGATTTTGTGGACCAGTTCAACAGATTCATTAAACAGTGCAACAGAATGGTTTGTTTACAAATTGACCGTCCCTACAAGACTTCTCACGCTTTTCTTAAAGAGCATGAAACAATCATGAGGTTATTTTGTTGACATACCATAGGCCCCATTAAGCAACCCCAATTACTCATCATGTCAGGTTACACCTTACCATCCAATTTGTGTCCTAAAAGTCAGGTTCCAGTAATTGGCTTCACTCACTAATGAGGGAGACATCTGGAATTAATCTTCTTTACTCGGGGCACATCACACTTTGTTTTGCAAGACATTTCTGTGAAAAGTGTCTCAGAGACACAACATCCCCACCGTTAAGAGACAATTGTGTTATTTACATATTCATTTATTTGAGAGGTGAGCTACTTGTTGGGGGAAACACTGCAAATTGATGGTTTGAAGCCATCTCAAGCAATCGACTTTGTATTGTAGAGATGAATGAGCAAAGCAATCCAAACATTTCTCAGTGAATAAGGCTTGTTTTTAAAAATATCATCTGTAAACACTGACGAAACTGACAGGTTGTTATTAGTACAACCAAAATAAGTCTTAACAACATTTATGTTTACTTATGCAGAGACTGCTTTGAGTTTTTCAGGACTTTATCTTCAAAGACTTCGTTTATTGTTTTGTCAGACTCACCCGCTTCTCTGGAAATCTGCATGAAGGCCTCGACTCCTTTCTCGCCGTAGCTTCCCTCCGAGGCCACTGTAGACACGTAGTTCCACCCCATCAGTTTCACTATGTCCACCATGGCTTGCGCCTGGAAGGAGTCGGGAGGTACGACGCGAGAGAAGAAATCGTATCGGCGGTCATCGCTCAGCTCTGGAGCGGTGGAGGCGTAGCTGATCTGCGGAATCTGAAACCAGGCGAAAAGAAGGCGGTTAGATTCGCTGCGGTTGCTAAACGGAGTTGGCCCAATTTTTATTTCCGTCAGCTCTTATAATGAAAAATAATGCAGTATTTCCCGCCGTGATTCCGTATTGAATGTCAATTACTCAAACTTTCATAGGCAATTGTATCTGCCGGCTGTCTTTTTGACACGGTCATAATATGAATGCTGGTCTACTGTGTGTTTTTGCAATTAAACTTATATCAAATGGAAACTGAGACAAGGCTGCGCTGATTTTGGATCTCTCTCTACTGCCGCAAGTGATACTTACTTAAATGGGCTAATGTAACACTATTTAATTTTTTCCTCAAACCTTAATTTTATTGAACAGAATGTATTTTTTCTTAAATGTATGTTTGTTGAGTGTCACTGTAATTTGTGTGTTCAATGTTGCGCTGGGTTGAAATTTTTGGTTGTAAAAATGTTGGTAACACTTTTACTTGAAGTCTTTATGTATAATGCATATATTATAGAAAATGGTGGTTACAATTATTTATGAAAAGATATAATGGATTACATTAACATATATTATGAATATCATTCAAAAGTAATTGTAAACAGTTAAAAATGTATAATAAAATTTGCAGATTCCTTGTTACATGTGAAATTGGCTGTTTGTTACGTGTTTTAATGCATTATACTTTCTAAAGGTGTAACAATGAATAAATAAATGCATTATAATAAATTATAATAAATATAAAGAAAGGGAGAACATGCAAAGGTGCATTTCAGCAAAATTAATGCATTAACAATACTTTTATAATGCATATTATGTAAAGGATAGTGTCACCAAAAAGTTTACTTAACATAACACATGACAAAATAATTTTCACATACAATATAAATATAAAAATACATTTTAAACCCATTTACATTGATGCAAAAATTAGACCTGTATCTCCATGTTAAGAAGAAAATTTATAAAAAATGTTGAATCTTCTTGACAACAATGATTAAAATGATGATTCTTCCAGTTGAAGAAAAAATAATAGCAGCAATTACATTAATACTGAAACATATATTGAATACAATCAAAATACAGTATCTATATGTATTTTTAGTAATGTCACCCAGTCCTAATCGTGCCTGACTATATGGTAAAGCAGAAAGACCAATCCGCTGCAGTTTGGCATATGCATAATACAAATTTGGTGTTTGGCAGATATCAGAAACAAACAGAAATAGACTTTCACATCACCCACCAGCTGTCGGTGCAAGCCGCAGCGCCACATTTATCATCTTGGACAAGCTGCATAATATACTCATTGTTTTTTCAGTTATGTAATGAAACAGCAAGTGCCACATTTAAGTCGTTCACCTCAGAAGAGGTCATGCTGAGAATATACACAAACACTAAAACGATCACTTAACACCATTTAGCATAAAATCACACCGATTCTACTCCCATGTCCTCCTAATGTACAGTCAAGGATGACTTCAACTCTGAAATTTGATGATTCAACCTCTCGAAAATGATGAACTATCTCCTGGAACAAAGCTTGTTATGAAGTTATGAAAATGTCCTTGGCTGAGGCAACAGACCCCAGATGATCATCAATGACGGCCAACAACATTCGGGCTATTTTCCAGCGTGTTCAATAACCACTTGCTTTGAGTCAAATTTCAGTATTAAGGGGGACCTGGATATGTAAATGTCTTCACACAATTTCAGATAAGCTAATCTGCAGCAGCCCTCGCTAGCAAGCTAACAATATCCCGTATTATCCACCAAAGCCCAGGCATGTTTTCTATTTTCTGACAGATGCTTTGTCACGTCTTCTGCGTTAGAAGTCTTGCACTCAAATTCTGAGCAATTCACAGTTATATTATCAAGGCATGCAAAAGCACGCTGTGCCCAGACTTCATGTGACATTTTTCTCTGTTTACTCAGTAAACACAGTAAAGTAACCTTGAAATGACCCTCAATAGGCTAGTTAACAAAAAAAAAGTTATGTTCATTT